GCACAGTGGTTAGAGTGCAGCATTGCAGGCTAATTCTGCCGACTGCCAGCAGTTCGATTCTTACTGGCTCAGAATTGACTCAGCCTTCCGTCCTTCCAAGGTCAGCAAACAGAACCCAGATTATTGGGGACAATAGGCTGACTATAAACCGCTTAGAGAGGGCTGTAAAACAATGCCCCCCGACCTTTTGGGCCCCAGGGACTGATTCGGTGGAGAGAGACCGGCGGGATGTGGTTTTGCATGCTGCTTGCATCCCGTGGATGGGGCTTCGCTTGTTTGTGTGGCCTGGTTTCTGGTATGCTGTGGTCTGATGCTAGTCCACGGATGGATGGGTAGGTTGGAGACTCCTGCTATAAAGCACTATGACGCAGTGTAGCAATAGCACTTAGACTTATATACCACTTCACTGTGCTTTACAGCCCCTCTAAGCAGTTTACAGAGTCAGCCTCTTGCCCCCAACAATCTGGGTCCTCATTTTACTGACCTCAGAAGGATGGAAGGCTGAGTCAACCTTGATATAAGTCTAAGTGCTACTGCTATATACCAGGGCTCAGTTAGTGGGTGAATCCAGCCTAAAAAAAACACGGACTTATCTAAAAAGGGAGCCTAGGAATGCAGAGAATGTAAACACTCATCCATTATTGACGGACACGATGAGGGCTCGGTATAAGAGACAATCCAATTTCTCCTTGAGAGAGGACAGAACTGCAAGCGTTTGCGAAAGGTTTGAGATCTGGCTCAGTGTAATTACGAACAGGATTCTCCCTTGCTCAGAAATTCAGCTGCAATCCCTACTCTTCCTGGAATATAATTAAGATTCAATTACTCTCCTCGGTGGGTCCCCAATTTCTGCAGCAGCCTGACATCCGATGGATTTGCATTCCGAAGCACGCAAAGCGCACTCAATCTGCTTCCTCTGTTTAAAATACGCCTGACCCTGCAGAAGTCACCTATCTCGAATATTTAAAACCGTCCAGGCGTGCAAATCTATTTGGGCACAGCATCCCGCAGTGATTAGTTTCAGGATGGAAGGAAAGCACGCGAGCCCCCTCATTTCCCCCTCTGAACGAGGCTTTGATTCTAAGCATCATCTACCCCTTAGTGTCAGGGAGAGCCAGGTTCAGTGCTCTCTGCAAAACAGACTTCCCATTGTGAAGAGGAGGAGGTGATGGGCACTCAGAGAAGCAGCTGAACAGCTTAGCGTTTCCTTCTTTCTCAACCTAGTCGTAGCTGGCATCCTGCCTCTCTACTTTCTGTGCCCCAGAGGTCCTTATTTTTCAGGATCTGTATTCCTCTCTCTTTTGATCTGACTTTGATTTTGCCCTGGCTGCCATTGTCTCAAAGTTCCGAGAAGGCCTTGAGAAAAATGCCAAAGGTCTTCTTTCATCATTAATAGTCTTCATAGGGTGGTCTTTCTTCTTCTTCTAGATGAGGGGTGTCAAACTCAAGGACTGGGGTCCAGAACTGGCCGATGGGGTGCTTAGATATGGCCTGCGGGGCTGCCCTGGAAATAGTGAAGGACCTGATCGCAGTGCCTCTGCCAGTGAAAACGGAGCTCGCGGGGGCCACGTGAGACCCTCCCTAGCTCTGTTTTTGCTGGCAGAAGGTTGCAGGAGGCTGTCCTTGAGTTTGACACCCCTCATCTAGAAGAAGAAGAAAGACCACCCTATGAAGACTATTAATGATGAAAGAAGACCTTTGGCATTTTTCTCAAGGCCTTCTCGGAACTTTGAGACAATGGCAGCCAGGGCAAAAT